TGAGTATCATACTCAACACATACTTTGAGAACTGTACATTGCTCAACACTTAGCCTAAAATTTTGGCAAGAACACTTGGCAACAACCTCACATGTCTGTTAGCAAAATATATATTGAACCGCAAGGCAGAATRAAATGAAACTTTCAGAAAGTGAACACTGGTTGTACGACTACAAGTGATAACATTTTGGAGTCAATCCAATTCAGGATGGCTCCCACAGCTAATGGATATTGGCGAACACATAAATGGCCACGTCTCAGTCAGTTTTACAGATACGGAGCTGAAGTTTGACATAAAGGTAGTTGAGAGTTATCCTCAACAGATCTCATAAAACTGGATGATTATATGCATTACATTATTTACAAGGTTTGTCAAAAACAGTTTGAGGTCATTTTTTGTAGAATGTTTGACACGAAAGGCCTAAGTTTGATACTTATTGCTTTACAAAATTAGCGGMTTTTAATTCCGCTCACTGTTTCAGATTTTCTAGCTCCCGTAGAGCTTTTTTTCCCCCCTATGAATAATAGTTTTTTTTTTTTTGTGAAGTCACGATAATGAACAGCAGCATCATTAAACCTCATCAACCACATGTTCTCAAGAAAATTCTTGGAGTCCCTCTACTGAGGAAGACGATCCACAATAACCGTATTCACTTGTGCCGCGTTAAAATGAACGAGTCGTGCAACTTTTTCTTCCTGCAGAACTGGGTGTGTTTCCTCTGGATGTTGTGATGTCCTCATTTGTGTTGACACTTCCCATAATTCAAGAGAAACATGCAACAATGTAACAACATCTACAGAGAGAGAGCGAGAGCGAGAGCAGCAGACGGTGAGATGGGGCCCTACCAGGAAATAGTTGCTGACTGATCGGCAGTCGCACAGAAGTGGTCTTGCCCAACAAACAGGAAAGTTTCAGCGCAGATCTGACTAGCAAATGATCGAAAGCAAAGATATTGTGACTGAAACAAGAAAAAACTACAGGTGGAGACAGGAAACAGCAGCTGATCTAACAGGAATTAGATCTGCTGATGTGCCAGGAACTTAGCTTATCGCAACTCAACAGTGACAGCACTATTTGAATCTCTAAGAGGAAAATAAAAAAAAGTAGTTTCCGCTTGTAGTTTTTCATACTTTCATTTAAAAGCTGGACTTTTTGAGGACGTTGTATTAAACTTATGCTAACAAGCTGTCGTGCAATGTTAAAAAATATAGATTTACATGTTAGGATTTTTGCGTTCGGCTGTGCAAACATCAGTCGGGCTTTTGCTGTTGCCAGCGCCACGCACAAAACCCCACTGAGCAAACTTCTGCAAGCCCCAGCAGTTTCTAAATATTTAGTTCAAAAACAGTTTTTTGCTTTTCTCTGCGCTTTCCTGTCGAGCGCTTTGCTTTCCTGCCCACATCTCCAACGGCTTTTCGGGAACCATTAGCCAGAGTGAATCTCTTGAGTCAGTGTGGGGAAACCTAAACAGCTGCAATACATGAGATTGTTTTTTTTTTTTTTAATTAAAACAGGTGGTATTGACATTTTTG